CACAAAACCAAAAATTGGTTCTTTGGAAAGATCAGCATAATTAACAAACTTTAAGTTAGACAGACTAAGAAAAAAGGAGAAGGACTCAAGATACTAAAACCAGAAATTAATGGGACATTGCTATTGACTTTACAGAAATAAATATGACTATAAAAGAACATTATGAAAAATTTTATGCCATCGAATTGGATAACTTAGAAGAAATGGACAAATTCTCAGAAACACAACTTAACAAAACTGATTCATGAAGAAATAGACAAACTAAATAGACCTGTAAATAGTAAGGAGATTGAATCAAGAATCCAGACTCTCCCAACAAAGAAAATCCCATAATCAGAAGGCTTCACTGTTGAATTCTTCCAAGTATTTAAAGAACAATTAACATCAATACTTCTCAAACTCTTACCAAAAAAAACATAACAGAGAGAACAATTACTAACTCATTCTGTGAGAGACCATCATCACCCTGACCTCCAAAACTAGACAAAGGCACCATAAGAAAAGACCACAAAGACCAGTATCCATTACAAACATCATGATGCAAAAAAAATTCACAAGAAAACACTTGCAAACAGTACAGAAGCATATTAAAGGATTATATACCATGACCAAGAGGTTTATTCCTGGAATGCAAGGATGATTCAACATACAAATATCAACTAATTGCCACATTAGTAGAATGGCAGGGGTGGGTGACATGATCATCTCAATTGACACAGAAAAGAATTTCCCAAAATTCAACACCCTTTCATGATAAAAAAACTTGATAAACTAGGAACAGAAGTAAACTATCTCAACATAATAAAGGCTATATTTGAAAAGCCCACAGCTAACATCAAACTCAATGAAGAAAGATGAAGGCTTTTCCTCTAAGACCAGGAACAAGACAATGATGGCTGCACTAACCACAGTACTGGAAATTCTAGCCAGAGCAATAAGTCAAGAAAAAGAAATGAAAGGCTCCTGAATTGAAAAACAAGTAAACTATCCCTGGTCACAGATGACTATGTAGAAAATTATAACAATTTCACCAAAAAATGGCTTGAGCTTGCTATGGTTTGAATACGCTCATCCGACCAAATCCATATGTTGAAATACTAACTGGAAAAGGTGATAGCATTGGGAGGTGGTGCCTTTGGGAGGTGATCAGTTCATGAGGGTGGAGCCTCATGAAAGGGAGATCCCCAGCCCTTGCTGACGTTGTAAGAGGTCACAGTAGGTAACTCAGAGGACGGCTTTCATCAGAACCTGACCTCTGTGCCTTATTGGTGGGCATGCACAGTGCTGCAGTCACTGTGAAAAATAGTTCAATGATTCCTCAAAAGGTTGCACATAGAATTATGATGTGATCTAGCAATACCACTCCTGGCTACACACCCAAAGGAATTCAAACAGGTATTTGTGCACAAGCGTTCATAGCAGCACTGTTCACAGCAGTCAAAAGGTGGGAACTACCCTACGTCATCAACAAACAAAATGTGGTTTATATGCAATGGAATATTATTCAGCCTTAAACAGGGAGGAAATTCTGACACACTACAGCATGGGCAAACATCGAGGACATGATGTTGAGTGAATAAGGCAGACGTGGGAGAGTAAATCCTGTGTGATCCCACTCATAGGAGGTCCCTGGAGTCATAGAGACAGCGAGCAGGTTGGTGGGGCCGAGGGCTGGGGAGTTAGTGTTCAATGGGGACAGATTCTCTGCTTGGGATGATAAAAAAGTTTTAGACTTGGATGGTGGTGAGGGTTGCACAACGTGGTGAATGCACTTAATGCCCACATAATGTACACTTAGAAATGGTTAATGTGGTAAATTTTATGTTATGTACATTTTACTATGATGAAATCATCTCCTATAGTTTCCCTGCTTTAAATGCTCCATTAGCCCCCCTCCCAGCTCCCCTCCTCTGAGCTTGCCCACTGCACCCCTGTTACCCACTCCCCAGGCCCAACCACAGCAGGTGCCTCCAGACACACCAATGGGCTGCCTCCATCTCGGCCCCAGCTCTTTGCACCTGCTGCTCCCTCTGGTGGAGCTGCCCCCTAATTTGCAGAAGGCCCCTCCCTGCCTTCCTTCAGTCCCACTGCCAACTTGTCCACACAGAGCTACCAGTCTCCCTGGGTCCCTTCCCGCTCTCTCTGTCACCTGACATCGTCACGAGCACCGTAAGCTCCAAAAGGGAGGGCCTTTGTCCTCCTCACCCATGCTGGACCCCTAGTGCCTGTGGCAGCCCACCCCAGGACTCATCATGATTTGGAAGAAAGGAAGGGGAGTAGGGAGAAGGGAAGGAGAGAAAGAGGGGGGAAGCAGCAGGGGGGGAAGAAGGGCATCTGTGTGCGGAGCCCAGGAGAGGCAGAGGACACGGAGGGGGGACGCCACGGTCTTCACTCGGGCCTGGCGTGTCCTGGGGAGGGTCTCCATGCTCCCGCAGCCCAGGGAAGGCCGAGGGCAATGGGCATGGCCTTTCCCATAGTGGGGACCCTCTGCACCCTGCCTGTAGGGCAAGGGATGGGGGTGCTCAGTAGCATCTGTTGATGAACGAGCTTGGAGTCTGGGGTCCACGATGGCACAATGTGTCCCCCAGCTGTTTCTTCGGGATGAAGCCAGTCCCCTGAGTCTCACTGGAAATGTGCTAAGTGTGCTGGGGGCAGGGACGGCCCCATAGAGAGTGGCTTGTCATCCACAGTGTGGCCTGGCACACTTCCCCACCTGGACCACTTGTCAGACTCACGTTCCAGGAGTCATGGGGAGTGTAAGCCCCTCAGGAAGGAGACCGGGCTGCTGGGACCCCTCTGGTTCCTGCCTGTTGGGCCACACAGCCCTCTGGGGAGCGGGAGGCAGCAGGTGTCCAAGACCCCATCCCCGGCACAGACCAGGCCCAGGCTGAGGCTTGAGCAGCCATGCCCGTGAGCCCCAGGGCTGTGCCCCGGTCCTCCTGGGTTCTCCACTCTGCCGGAGCTGGAGCTGGGCAAACAGCCCACGCTGTGTGGGGGCCCAAGGCCTGATGCACCCCAGCCCCTTGCCCTTACCCTGCACTGCTGTGGAGGGGGCTCTGGGCAGGGGTGAGAGGGGCCCTGGCCTTGCCGGATGGCCCCCAATCACCTTCCATGTCCTCAGTCCTGTTGGCCGGGACAGGCGTGGTCTGCTGTGGGGTCTGACCTGCCTCAGGGCCCTTGGGGTCCGGCGCGGCTCCCAGACACCCGAGACCCGTGGGCTGAGTGAGGACAAGGCAGGGCAGTTCCTGGCACCATCCCTGGGGAGCCCTCCCCGAGCCCCAGGAGGCCTTCCTTCCCAGCAGCCCGCTCCCCGTGGCTTCCTTTATCTTCTGTTCCCGGCTCCCTCAACTGTGGAGAGGTAAACTCACTGAGCAAACAGGCTGGGCTCCCTGGGCCGCATCCGGGATGTCTCAATAGCTGCGACCCTGGCAGCCCCTCCACGTGCCTCTGCCAATGGGATGTTGCTCACAGGGCAGCACCAGGGTTGCGTACATCTCCCCCTCGCCCACTGGGTGCACTCCCACGGGGCCTGCTGCATGCCGGCTCTGGTCAGCACTCAGCCCTCCTTGCAGGGTGGGCTCCTGAGGGATGGGCACCTGGCGCTGCGAGCATGGGTGGGGCTGAGGGCTGAGAGGGAGACCAGGCCAGGAGGGGCTGGTGAGGGCCCCCGGGTTCTGCGTGCCAAGGATGGAGCAGGCACCATGCAGGCCTGTGGCTGGAGCTCGATGCTGGGAGCAGGGCCTAAGTGAGACGGGTGGGCCAGCCGTGAGCCCTGGCCGCAGGTGGCCCGTGGGGTGGTTGGCCATGCTGAGGGGTGACAATCAGACAAGACGTGTTCTCCCTTTTCCCAGCCATTCCACTTGCACACATTTATCCTTGAAAAGACACCTCAGGGGGAGGCTGGGGCTCCCTGCTCACATATACCAGCCTGGGAAATGCCCACTACCCTGGGGGCTGGTTTCCAGTGGCCCTGTGCTCACCCATCTCCCAGCAGAGCACACCAAGGTTTGGGTCATGAGGGGGAGAGGTGGCTACACCTGGAGAGTGTCAGCAGCAGGCATCTGGGGAGACTATTCATGGCCAGTGGGCACCGTGTGACCCCTAAACCGGCCATACCAGCTGGGAGAGCTGGGCCCTCATGGCTCCTCTGGCTCCCTGTGAGGTGACCCCTTCAGCCCTGCTGGGGCCCTCAAGGGGCACAACCCCTACGCACCAGACCCTGTGCAGCCCACCATTGGCTGAGGACCCCAGGCTGGTCAGAGACCCCAGGGAAACAGCGGCTTCCTTTGCATCCACCCAGATCTGCCACTTAACAGGCGACCTTGGGAGTGAGGTGAGGATCAAATGGGGCAGGTGAGGGATGAGCACCTGCTGATTCTCAGCATGTGCAGCCAGGGCATCCACTCTTGGGCCTCGGTTTCCCCTTGAACTGGGTATCTGGGAAGGCGGCCTCCTTTGGGCCACCCACGGGCCACGCACACTCCTGCTGAGCAGGAACCCCCCCAGGGCCCCGAGAAAGAGCACCCTCACTGCCCCTCCCCACTCCTCAGGGTGGGGTGCAGAGCCTCCTCTCCTTTAAACCCACCTCTGCCTCAGCCAGGCTCCTGGGAGGGGCTCGACATGGGGGCTTAGTGTGAGGGGCTCGCTGGCCCCTCCCCACAGAGTAAGTCAGTGGCTGCAGCAGGGTGGACCCTGGCAGGGCTTTTGCCACCTAGAATGCATGGCCAGCACCACTCTCCCCATGCCAGGGCTGGTGCCAGTGGCCCATTCTCTCTTCTGATTCTTAGGAGCTGCCGGGGGGTGGGAGTCCTATGCCTGTGGGGCCCAGAGCCCCAAATCCTTCCTCCTCCAGGCCTCTTTCCTGCCTCAGCCCCTCCCAGAGAGCAAACACACGTGGCTGGCACAGAGGACAGGATGGGTCTGCGTGGCCCAGGAGCTGGGCACGGGGCCAAGGCCTCCTGCTACATAAGCCCCAGGGCCCCCAGGGGAGTGAGTGAGGTGGCCCACTCCCTCCTCGCCACCATCTGCTGACGTGCCAGCCTCAGCATGGGTGCCCTGTGTGGGTGCTGGGCGCTGATGCGGGTCCTTGCGGTTCTGCTCCTTGTGCAGAAGGCAGGTAAGGCTGAAGCCCTTTTGCCCCATCATTGAGCAGGGCTAGCGTCCACAGGCCACCTGCTCGGGGGCTTGCCCTGCCGAGAAAGGATGGCAGGACCCCCACCTTGTGTGGCCTCTGGGGCCCCGCACACCCTCAGACACTGGATCCTGGGTCTTGAGGGTGGGACAGGGTGGGTGCCAGAGGGGGCCAAGGCCAGGGCCTCTCTGGTCCCTCTGAGGCCCCCACATCGGAGTGGGCAGTGAGGGCCCCCAGCCAGGGTCCCTGCCCACCAAGGGGCCGCATGTTCTCGCTCAGCCCATAGCGGCTTTGAAATACCTCCTCGAGCGGGGAGCCGGTCGGCCCCAGCTCCAGGCACCTTACGCCCCACCTGCGGAGCGACCTTCCATGCCACCTCGCCTCCATTGTCCCTCGGGCATACTTTCATCACGGGGAAGCACCGTGACCTCTAATACAGTCAACATGAAAGATGCAGCCCTCAGGGCTGCCTGGAGCCCTGCCTGGCCCAGCTGAGCTCTGCTTCCCGTAAGCACCCCACGGCACCTCACACCAGCCCGGGGGTCTGAGCAGGCAGGCACCGGCCCAAGGCTCTCTCACCTGTGAAAGGAGGCAGTGATGGGAGGGGGCTGTGTCCCGGAGCCCCTGCCCCAGCCCCCTTCCTCAGGGAGCATGCAGAGCTTGGAGGCTTGCGGGGGCTTTCCTAAAGCGACTCCTGGTGGGGGTCCCGGGATCCCACCCGGCTGCAGTGCACAGCCAGCCCACTGCATGGTTTGGGATGCAGTTGCCAGTCTGCACGGCCAGGACCCTCTCAGCCAGGCTCTCCCGGCCTCTCCTGGGCCAACCTCTGTCCCATGCCCTGGGCAGAGCTAGCCTGGCAGGTGCCCTCACCCTCTGCCCACTTTGCCATGGTTGGGAGAAGATCCTTCTTGTCACAATGAGATGTGCACCCATGGTGGGGGAGTGTCCCCCTGGGCTGGAGCCCTTCTGGGGGTACAGAGGTGGGGCCCAAGAGGTGGGGGCACGTGCACCCAGACCATGGCCTGAGGGCTGGCTGGTAGTGGGCATTTCTCAGGCCAAGTGACAGAGGTCCAGGTCTCACTGGTCAGCCCCCTGGCCAGAGGAAGGCGCCATGCACTGAGCCAGTGCTCATGCGAAACGGACCCTGAATGGAGTGGAGGGGGAGCCGCGCACCCCCCACCCACGTGAACCCCCCTGGCTTCTTGTCGGCCAGGCATACCCGGGAGGGGCTTTGGGTCTGGGGTCAGGGGTGGATGAGGGAATGCCGAGCTTCTGGGCACGCGGTCAACCAGGCCCTGGAGAGGAGAGAGTGATGGTGTGCCATGCCTGTGGTGTTTGGTCCCTTCCTGTGTGCCCCTGGGAGAGTCTGACAGGAGGCAGAAGCTGCTGAGCACCAGCCCCACGGGGGACCCAGGGACCCAGGGACCCCCTGCCTTCCATTCCCCACAAAGCACAGGCCTGGGCTGAGCTAGAAGACTCCCAGCGGATGCGAGGAAGGGACTCTAGGGCCACATGAAGGGCGCAGGGGCTCAGTCCTGCCCCGGGGGCAGCGGGAGGGGGTGGGGGGTCTGGAGGGATGCTGGATTCGGCTCTGCCTTGAGGCCTCGGGTGCTGTCTGGGCACCCGGCTCCCAGGCCCCCCACCTGCCATGACCAGTGTTCTAATGGGGTGCTGGCTCTGCCTTGTGTTTCTGCTAAGTCACACCAGGAAGCCTCCCCGACTGAGTGTCCTTCCCCACAACAAAGCCAGTCTTTGTCCTTCAAGGGACACCAGGGATGGGGCTGAGCCCTCTCCCTGGGGTGGCTGGGGTCAGCAGGACCACGCCTTTTCCTGATTCCATTCTCCTGCCCGGAGCTGGCTTGCAGCCCTGTCACAGTGGGATGAGGCGCCATCCTGAACCTGCAGACGGGGGCAGGGGGCAGCACAAGGCCACTGAGCAGGTGCAGCTCCCTGCTGGAGCCCTCCATCCTGGCGGAGGCCTTGCTATCTCAGTGAGTGACAGGGAGGCCAGAACCTGCTGTGTGGTCACCATCCCACAGCTGCAGAGACCCACCACCAGGTGCCCCAAGCATGCCACTGAGGGAGGGGTGGCTGAGGGCTGGCTTCTCCCCAGATCACGTCCCCTTTCCCACAGAGACCCAGCGGGGCTCGGCACCAAGCCGGGCAAGCACAGAGACGGCCATGGACAGTCAGAGCATGGATGCTGGTACGTAGCCCAGGCTTCAGGCAGTGGGAGGCTGCCCGAGCAGGTGGAGGGGCTGGGCATGGGCAGGGGTGGGAATGGACCCCTTTCCACACCGGCTGCAAGTCACACAGACCCTGCTGATCCCATCTGCCCACGGGAGGACAGAGCAGAGGGTGTAGCCAAATGAACTAAGACCCAGAGCAGAGAGCTCAGGCGCTCACACGGACTCACACATGTTCACTCATACACCGTGTGCACATGCTCAGGGCAACACGTAGATGGGGCAAGAGTGTGCGTCCAGCAGCCGGGGAGGGTTCTAGCAGGGGACAGTCACTGGGGGCCAGCATCCTGCAGCTCCCTGCTGCCCCAGAGTGGCCTGTGGGGGGATCCTGCCAGGCCACATCCCTTCTGTGACCCAGTCCTCACTTTGCAGCCAAGCGTGTGACCTTCATCCCGCCCATCACCATCCTCCCTACCATGAGCTGTAAGTGGACACTGCCTATGCTGGTGGGGTGGGGGTGTTTGCCAGGCCTGGGGGTCACCAATCTGGGGAGAAAGCTGGGACAGTGTAGGGCAGCGTGGCCAGGAAACCTCCCTGCGGGCAGCTCTCCTGGGGGCTGGGACGGGCGTCTGGGGTCTCAGGGAGAGTCAGAGGCAGCTAGCTAAGGTTTGGCCATGGGCAGCTGGCATGGGCCCCGCTATGCACTCCCCACAGCCCAGAACCCAGCGCATGACGGGCGGGTGTGCAGCACCTGGGGAGACTTCCACTACAAGACCTTCGACGGCGACGTCTTCCGCTTCCCCGGCCTGTGCAACTACGTCTTCTCCGCGCACTGTGGCGCTGCCTACGAGGACTTCAATATCCAGCTCCGCAGAGGCCTGGTCGGCTCCAGGCCCACCATCACCCACGTCATCCTCAAGACCCAGGGACTGGTGCTGGAGGCCTCCAATGGCTCTCTCCTCATCAACGGGCGGCGGTGAGCCAGCCTGGGCTACCGAGGGGCCAGGGATCTGGGTGGGTTGGGACTCAGAGCTAGTGGCGTCGGGGCACTAGACCCCACTGGCCGTGGGAAGACAGGACTCTGTCGCCCCAGGGAGGAGCTGCCCTATAGCAGCACTGGCCTCCTGGTGGAGCAGAGCAGCGTCTACATCAACATCAGGGTACGCCTGGTGCTGACCTTCATGTGGAACCGGGAGGACAGCGCCCTGGTGAGGATGCCTGCCCGCACACCCCTCCCTACCTGGCTGGGAAGGCCCCGCAGGGGGGCTGGAGTCTGCAGGGGCTGGGGCCCTGCCAGGCTGGCAGAGGCTTGGAGCTACCCCTCCCCTGTCCCCTAGCTGGAGCTTGACCCCAAGTACGCCAACCAGACGTGCGGTCTGTGTGGGGACTTCAACGGGCTCCCAGCTGTTAACGAGTTCTATGCCCACAGTGAGTGCCGCCTGTTTGGTCATTGCAGGAGGTGGAGAGAGTCCAGCATGGGGCAGTCTGGGGGTGGTTTCACCTGGGCACTGGATGGGGAGCACATCACGGGGGTGGGCCAATGCTCAACCCAGAGATGCCCAGAAGGGTTTTGGGGCCCCTTGGCAGCCATTCCCCACACTGCCCCCAGGGCCCCGTGGTGCTCTCCATACTGAGTGCCTCTCCACAGATGCCAGGCTGACTCCTCTACAGTTTGGGAACCTGCAGAAGCTGGACGGGCCCACTGAACAGTGCCAGGACCCCCTGCCCTCCCCAGCCAGCAACTGCACAGATGGAGTGAGCACCTCTCAGGGGCCCAGCCCCACAGCCCTGCCCCCTAGGGCATGGGGAGAGCAGGGGGGCAGGCTCAGGCTCCCTGGGGGGGTCCTTGGGTATCCAAGTAACAGAGGGTGTCCTGGGCCAAGGGCAGCCGAGGGCCTTGCCTCCACTCTTGATGCACACCGTCTGCATCCACGCACTCCACCTGCTGCACACATGTGAGAGCGAGTGTGCCTTAGGCTGCGAGTGTGCCCGTCTGTGGGTGCAAATACATGCCCACACACAGTCCCACTGAGGGTGGGGCACTTGGGCAGCCTGAGGTAGGAAGCCCTTCAGGTAAGCTGGGAGGACCCCTCCCTTGAAAGTGGCCTGGAAGCCCCAGGAGGCCCTGAAGTCAGCAGAATATATCCCTGAGCTTCAAACAGGACGTGGAGTTGCGGCCCACCCATAGCCGGCAGGGGCATCCTGAGGGCGGACAGGCATTTCTGCGTCCCCGTTCTCTGAACCACCCTCAGGGGTGGGAACTGCACCTTTCCTGGATGCTCACACCATGGGCAGGTGTGTCCTGGGGCCCAGGGTCATGGGTCACTCCCCAGGCCAAGCAGAGCTCTGCACCAAGGGTGGCAAGTTCACAGTGGTTGAGTAGAAGGATGGATGGGCAGCTGGCTGGCTGGATACAGGGAGGGATGCTGGACGGATGCATGATGGATGGGTGGGTGGATGGATGGGTGGGTGGAGGGACAGATGGGTGGGTGGATGGGAGGAACCTCAAGGGAAGGTAGGGGGCTCCCCATCCTGTGGATAGGTTGTGGGGCTGGGGCCTCCACAGCATCGCGGTGATCCTGTGTGGAGGCCGGAGGGTGACCAGCCTCTGTCCCACCAGGAGGGTGTCTGCCGCCGGACCTTGCTTGGCCCAGCCCTTGCCCAGTGCAATGCACTGGTGGACCCGGACGAGTATGAGACCGCCTGCATTCAGGATCTGTGCCGCTGCCCCACCTGCCCATGTGCCACCTTTGCTGAGTACTCCCGCCAGTGTGCCCACGCAGGGGGACAGCCGCAGAACTGGAGGGGCCCTGACCTCTGCCGTGAGTACCCCCCAAGGCCTGGACCAGGGGATGCACTGGGACCAGCCCCAGGCCCTGCACCCATGTTGGGTCCCAGGGAGGTCAGGGAGGAGACCCTGGCAGGTCTGGCAGGGACACAGGGCAGGCAGAGCCACTCGGGGAGCCCACAGGGAGAGGGTGGGCAGGGGAGCAGAGGGCAATGTTCCAGGTCCGGGGCCTGGAGGGATGGTGCGCCCTTACGACCCTTCACCTACTGCCTCACCAGGAAGGGGGCTGGGGGCGCAGGGGGAGGCTCTTGAGACGAGGGGCTCCAGGCTCAGCCCTGGATTTTGATGACCTTTATGGACACACGGAGGGCGGGAGCCTGTCCCCCGCCTGGGCGCCCAGGCTTCCTGGGGCCAAGCACTGCCTCGTCCTGCAGCCCAGACCTGCCCCGGCAACATGCAGCACCGGGAGTGCGGCTCACCCTGCGCCGACACCTGCTCCAATCCGGGGCGCGCCCAGCTCTGTGAGGACCACTGTGTCGACGGCTGCTTCTGCCCCCCAGGCAGGTCCTCCCGGCCCTCGGGACTGTGTCCGGCCCACCTGGGCCCTTTGCCCCACCCCGTCACTGTGTTTTCAACCCACAGCCCCAGCCTCCGCTGACCTCTCGACCCCCGTCCCCAGGCACAGTGCTGGATGACGTCACCCACACGGGCTGTCTGCCCCTGGCACAGTGCCCCTGCTCCCATGGTGGCCACCCCTACGCCCCAGGCACCTCCTTCTCCACCGCCTGCAGCTCCTGGTAGGCCCTGCCCAGGGTGGGTGCACGGTGGGGGTCTGCCTCCCTACCTCCTGCCACCTGTGCTCATGGCTTTCCTTGTCAGCACCTGCTCTGCAGGCCTGTGGCAGTGCCAAGACCTCCCATGCCCCGGCACCTGCTCTGTCCAGGGCGGGTCCCACATCTCCACCTACGATGAGAAACTCTACGATGTTCACGGGGACTGCAACTACATCCTGTCCAAGGTGTGGCCCTGGGCGGTCTGGGCCTCTCTTGGGATCCTCAGCTCTCTTTCTGCCTGGGAAACTGTCCCTTGATGGCCGTCAGAGTGAGCGAAGCCCCTGAGATCCTCCCATCCTGAGAGGGGGACTGAGGTGCTCCCATGCCAAGACAAGGAGGTGCCAGGGGCCACCGCGAGCCACTGTCCACCTCCCCCCTGCATGAGTGTCCTGGGGACAGGGCAGCCCTTTGGTACCCTGCCTGTATTGAGGGTCAGTCACTCCAGCTCACAAGTGGGTGTTGCCCTGTCAGAAATGTGCAGACAGTGACTTCACGGTGCTGGCTGAGCTGCGGAAATGTGGCCTGACAGACAATGAGAACTGCCTCAAGGCGGTGACGCTCAACGTGACCAGAGGGAGCATGGTGAGGGGCCTGCCTCCATGCCACCCACGGTCCCCAGACTGGGGCGGGGGGTGGAGACAGGGAAGCCAGAGCTCGAACTCCCTGTCGAGCCTCTCAGGCCCCAGGGGCAGCCACCCCCGGCCCTAGGGTCACACGGAGGCACAGCCAGGAGGGCACCCCAGGTCCGCAAGGCGGCTGGCTCCTCCCCACCCTGGCCACAGCCCCACCTCCCCCACCAGGCCATCCGGATCCAGGCCAATGGTGGGGTGTTCATGAACTCCATCTACACCCAGCTGCCCGTGTCAGCAGGTACGTGGCCCAGGGCGGTGGGGCCTCTGGGGGTGGTCTGCTCCCAGGGCCTGTGCAGAGCCAGCTGGGCTCCCGCTGGTTCTCTGTGGCCTCAGGCAGCTCTGGAAAGTCCCACGGCAGGTTCCCACCTGCAAAGTGGGGATGTCCATGGTTCCATTTCTGCTGCGGTGGGGACATGCTTAGTGCGGTCCCCCAGGGGAGCGTCAGCCGTCCCTCTCAACCCCCAAGTGCAGGGGGTACCCTGCTCGGCTCCCGGGGGTCCTGCCGGCAGGTCCCCAGGGAAGGAGCCCGGGCCTGACCACGCCCACCCCGCAGCCGGCGTCACTGTGTTCAGGCCCACGTCCTTCTTCGTGCTGGTGGAGACGGGCCTCGGGCTGCAGCTGCAAGTGCAGCTGGTGCCCTTCCTGCAGGTGGTCATCAGGCTGGACCCCTCCTACCACGGCCAGATGTGCGGTGAGGCCCGGTGGGCTGGGGGCGGGGCACTCAGCTCCAAGCTGCACGCAGGGGTCAGGGGAGTCTGGCTGGAGATGGGGACCGGGGGGCAGCCACTGCCCACATGCAGCAAGACCCCTGCCCCAGCCTGGGTCAACGGGCGTCTGACCTGCGGCCTGGGGGTGGTGTGGGAGGTCAGCAAACAAGCCGCGCCACCCTCGTCCAGCAAGCCTCGCACAGGGCTGGTCCCCAGGGCGTGCTGCAGAAGGCTCTGCACCCAATGCCTGGGAGGGGCTCTCTGACGGGCCGGCCCTGGGGAGGCTCCAGGGGGACCTCAGCTCCACTGATGCCCAGGCCCGGCCCTCAGGCCTGTGCGGGAACTTCAACCAGAACCAGGCCGACGACTTCCGGACCCTCAGCGGTGTGGTGGAGGGCACAGCCGCCGCCTTTGCCAACACCTGGAAGACCCAGGCCGCCTGCCCCAACATGAAGAACAGCTTCGAGGACCCCTGCTCCCTCAGCGTGGAGAACGGTAGCCTCACTCGTGGGGAGCCCTCCGGTTGCCCTAGGACTGGGTCTGGTTGCTGCCCTTCCCGGCAGGAGGCCTCACATCTTACTGGGGTTCAGGGCCAGGGGGGCTGAGAGACCCCCAAGATGCAGGCATGCAGGCAGAGCACCCTGTAAGCAGTGCCCACATGGCACAGTGGGTGGGTCCCAAATCCCAGTCCAGCTCTGTGTGCGGAGCGAGGCTGTGGGATGGGTGGGGGCAGAGGACCGCTGAGCCATGCCTGGTGATGGACAGCCACTGGCCCCTCCTCCAGAGAACTATGCCCAGCACTGGTGCTCCCTGCTGACCGACCCTGCTGGCGCCTTCTCACCCTGCCACTCCACTGTTGACCCCGCGCCCTTCCACATGGTGAGACCCCTGACCTGCCGGGGAGTCCCATCTGCCCACCTGGAGCTGCCCCCCCCACGCCTCCCTTGGGGGCTGCCTCTCTCCAGGACCACCCACGGCGCATAGGCTGGCCAGTCAGCCCCCCTCTGGGCTATGGAGGATGCGACCGTGGTCGGGGTGTTTGTGGACATAACAATGGACCACTGACGGGTGGCTAACGCTGGAGAAATCGATTCCCTCCTGTCCTGGAGGCCGGAAGTCCAAAACAAAGGGCTGCTCCCTCCCAGACCTCTAGGAGGGGGTCCGTCCTGCCTCTGCCCCTGGGGCCTCTGGGGGCTCCCTGAGTCCTGGGCTTGTGGCCGCGCCCCTCCAGCCTCTGCCTCTGTGGTCACGTGGCCCTGGCCTCTCCCATGTCTGTGTCCGTATTTCCTCTTATAAGGACACCTGTCATGCTGGGTCAGGCCCACCCGATGACTGCACTGTGACTTAATTACCTCTACAAAGACCCCAGTTCCAGTGAGGTCACGGTCACAGGACCCAGGGCAGGGCTTCTACGTCTGTTCTGGGCTCCCAGCTCAACCCACACAGTGGCTCATAGGCCGCTTTCCAGAAGCATAAGGCCCTAAAACCCACATGACTTCATCCTGAGAGTGTATGTCTAAGTGGTGGAAGCCCCAGGCCCACCCTCCCATTTTGGGGGTGGTGTGCCTCCACCCTGCTGCGCACTTTCCCCACCCACCCCACCCCTCCTCTGCCGCCTCCCACCGTCAGTCTCACTCCTGCCCACCCCATCCATGTTGTCCACATGTAGCACGACCAGTGATCTGTGTAGAACGCAAACTGGACCCTGCAGCGACCTGCCGAGACCCCTCCTTGGACCCCAACCTTAGCCTTGGCCTCTCTATCACCATGCTCTTGGCCTCTCGGTCTCTGAGCCCCCAGCCCAGGCGGGGGTCCCCTGAACAGGGAGAGGAGGGCCCTGGGTGGACCGGGGTCCCTGGTGCAGGCCTGGGAAGGGGTCTCGGAGGGGAGGGGGCAAGGGGTGGCAAGGGGGCCTCTTGCCATGTGTGGCCTGGGGTCCCTGATGGCCCCGGATGGCCTGTCCCCAGAACTGCATGTTCGACACGTGTAACTGTGAGAAGAGTGAGGACTGCATGTGCGCCGCCCTGTCCTCCTACGTGCGTGCCTGCGCCGTCAAGGGTGTGCTGCTCCGCGGCTGGAGGGCCGGTGCCTGTGGTGAGTGTCCAGGGCTGGCTGTGCTCTGAGCAGGGTGGTGTGGGGGTCTGCAGGGCAGCAACCCCCATTCACAAGCTCTTGGCAAGAACTTTGCACCTCCTCGTCCAGTCCAACCAAGAACCTTGTGCCTCCACAATCTGGGGTCCTAAAAGGGGAAACCGAGTCTCAGCCCACATAACCCCCAGCATTCGAGGGCTGCCAGCCACTGACCTGAGGGTTGCCCCATCCCTCCCACAGCCAAGTACATGAGCAGCTGCCCCAAGTCCCAGAGCTACACCTACGTGGCAGATGGCTGCCAGCCCACCTGCCACAGCCTGAGCCAGGCTGACATCACCTGCGGCATTGCCTTCGTGCCCGTGGATGGCTGCACCTGTGCGCATGGCACCTTCCTGGATGAGGCCGGCACCTGCGTGCCAGCAGAGGCCTGCCCCTGCTACCACCGTGGCTCCACAGTGGCTCCGGGAGAGGTTGTACATGACAACGGCGTGGTGTGGTAAGGGGCTGGCAGGGGTGACCCCTCCTCGATGTCACTGTCTCCAGCCGCCGGTGGGCGGTGCTCACTTTGAGGCCATCCCCCACCCTGGCCTCGCTGGCGGCCCCTTTACCATCAGAGGGGGCCTGTCGTCCTCACTGCCGAGTCTACACTGCCCCCGCTCCTTTGCACACTGACGTGAAGGCCTCTGTGGGATCTGCGGCCTCCACAGTGACCCTGGCAGCTGGCGCCATTCTCACCTTCTGACGAGGCCTGGGGAGCACAGCAAAGCCCACATGCCTGCCCAAGAGGGCTGAGATCTGGGTGGGGTCTGTGGGGCAAAGGGCAGCGGGCAAAACCGGGTCTTTCTCTCAGCTCGTGCGTGAGAGGGAAGCTGAGCTGCCTGGGAGCCGAGCGGCTGCAGAGCACAGGTGCCTCCTCCCTCCCGCTGTCCCTTGGGGGAGGGAAGGGGTTTCTGCGGGCCTGGGGGTGGGGGTCCTGGCACAAAGGCCCTGCAGCCGCCATCCCTCTGCAGGGTGTGTGGCCCCCATGATGTACTTGGACTGCAGCAACGCCTCGGCGGGCACGCCCGGGGCTGAGTGTCTCAGGAGCTGCCACACGCTGGACGTGGGCTGTGTGAGTTGGCGGGGAGGCCACGGCCCCTGAGTGACCCCTGAGTGGTGTCTGCTCCCTTAGCGCCCCTGGGCCGCAGCAGGATGAGCTGCTGACAGGTGCCTGCCTGCCCACAGTTCAGCAGCAACTGTGTGTCCGGCTGCGTCTGTCCCCCGGGGCTGGTGTCAGATGGGAGCGGGGGCTGCGTGGCAGAGGAGGACTGCCCCTGTCTGCACAACGAGGCTGCCTTCAAGCCTGGGGAGACCATCAGGGTCGACTGCAACACCTGGTGGGTCCAGGGCCCCTTGTCGGGGGACATGGGCAGAGCTGGCCTTAGCCAGTGGGCCCTCGGCAGGAGACAGGCAAGGAGCTGAGGCTTGGCACTGCCCCTGGAAAACCCTGGGGCCTCATTTGTTCTCTGGAGGGTGCCCCAGGGACAGCAGGGCTGGTCACATGACACCAGGGCCACTGACCCTGCCCAGACACAGGGGCTGTGGGAGCCTTGAGACAGGAGCAGAACAGGGCCGGTGGTGGGTCCCAGGTGCCCTGTGCTCACGTCTTCATTAATGCTCACGAGCTCGGGAGGGGTGGGGTGGGGCAGGGTCCCTGTCCTGGTCACAGCTGGGAGGGGGCTGGCAACAGTAGTGGGTGGTGTTGCCCCCTGCCTCGTAGCACATGCAGGAACCGCCGGTGGGAGTGTAGCCGCCGGGCCTGCCTGGCCACCTGCGCGGCTTACGGGGACGGCCATTTCATCACCTTCGACAGCGCGCGCTACAGCTTCAGCGGGGACTGCGAGTACACACTGGCCCAGGTATGCGACCCCCACGTCCCCTGCAGGCCAGGTGCCCTCGGGGCTGTGGCCCATCTTGCTTCCTCTGTCCCAGGACCACTGTGGGGGCAACGGAACAGCCAATGGGACCTTCCGCATTGTCACTGAGAACGTCCCCTGTGGGACCACAGGTGTCACCTGCTCCAAGGCCATCAAGCTCTTCCTGGAGGTGAGGGAACTTTCTCCCTTCTGCAGCGCCGGGGCCCCTGGCCTTCCAGCTCTGTTTGTGTCCTGGGGCCACTGCAACAATGGCCACAGCCTGGGTAGTTAAAACCAGAGAAATCCATTCTCCTGCAGTTCTGAGCCAGGACTCCAACATCCAGGTGAGTGTGTCTCCAGGGAGGACCCTGCCCACCTCCCCCAGCTTCTGGGGCACCAGCGTTCATCCCTGGGCTGTGGTCGCGTCCCCTGGGCTCTGCTCCGCCGGCACATGGCCTCCTCCGTGTGCCCTTCTCCTCCTGTCCTCTCCAGGGACACCTGTCATAGGACTTAGGCCCCCCAAAAGCCAGGAGGACCTGGTCTCAGATCCTACACTTGATCCCATCTGCAAAGTCCCTTCTCCCAGATAAGGTCCCATCTGCGGTTCTGGGGTGAGGACGTGCACATGCCTTTTGGGGGCCTCTGTTCAGCCCACCACTCTCAGGGATGTATACTTCCAGCAGAGGAAGGTTGGAGTTCACAGGGCAGAGAGCAGAGCTAGCTGCTGGCTGGGGAGCACCTCCCCTGGAGGGCAGGGAGGCGCATGAGGAAGGCAGTGTAACTGGGGGGTCAGTGGAGGCAAGAATGGGGGTGAGGCCCCAGGTTGCCACATGACCTCCCACGGTCTCATGCTGGGCCATGAGCCAGACTTGCCTGTGGCCCCTGCCTGTGCCCAGCCTCTTGCCTGGCGTTCACAGACAGTGCCAGGAGCCCGGCTCATTCTCAATGCCAGCCCCACTCCTTAGGCACCTGAGCATGGCAGAGTCCCTGGGCTGAGCTCCGAAGCCAGCCCTGTGGCTCCCTGCAGCCACCACTCCCCTGTGCTTCTCTGCAGAGCTATGAGCTGATCCTCCGTGAGGGGTCCTACAAGGTGGTGCAGAGGGAGCCAGGCGCAGACCCGCCCTACAAGGTCCGGTACATGGGCAACTACCTGGCCATTGAGACCCGCAGTGGCGTGGTTGTGTCCTGGGACCGGAAGACCAGCGTGTTCATCCGGCTGCACCAGGATTACAAGGTGAGGGCAGGTGGGCTATGGGACCCCCTTGGGTGGGGGCAGAGCCCCTACTCCTAGACCTCCCCTGTGAGGACTGCCTGGCAGCTGATGGTCTGCTGAGGGCTTGGGTGAGTCCACCCACAAGGTCTGGTTCTGAAAAGGGGCACGTGGAGCCCAAACCCATAACTGCCCTTTGCTTTGGTCTCCCTGCTTGGAGTACCATGTCCCCGGGGCTGAAGTTCTATGGGGGAGCAGGTGCCTCCCTGCCCATCTGTCTGCTACAGGACCCACCATGCACCCCTGTGGTCCTGCAAGTTCAAGAGCACTGCAGGGGGGAGCTGGGTGCCTTGCAGTCACCCTCCTGGGCTGGCCCTGTGCTCCAGCCCCACCTCCCTCAGCGTCTGCAGGGACGCTGCCAGGGGGAGCTGGGTGCCCTGCAGTCACCCTCCTGGGATGGCCCTGTGCTCCAGGCACACCTCTCTTGGCATCTGCAGGGGCGCATCTGTGGGCTGTGCGGGAATTTTGATGGCAACGCCGTCAACGACTTCACCACACGGAGCCAGTCCGTGGTGGGCGACGTGCTGGAGTTCGGCAACAGCTGGAAATTCTCCCCATCCTGTCCCGATGCCCTGGCCCCCAGAGACCCCTGCACCGCCAACCCGTACCGCAAGGCCTGGGCCCAGAAGCAGTGCAGCATAGTCCACAGCACCACCTTCGCCACCTGCCACTCTCAGGTGGGCCTAGAGGCAGGGCTCTGGGTTGGGGGGCAGGGGCTGGGCTTCCCTCCCTCCCTGCTGGCTGGAGCTGGGTCTGGCCTGGGCTGAATCCTGAGGAGGGTCTTCACCATGACCACCACACACGGCACACTGTCTGGACCTCCTCCCAGGCAGGAGCCTGAGCCCCAGTCCTGGCACAGAGCACCCCTACTGCTCTCCTTGAGCACAGCCTCATGCACCGGAAGCGGGGCAGGGGGCCATGCAGGCCCCGGGTGTCACCGCCCCAACCTACCTTCCCTGGCCTGCTAGCGTCCAGCACAGATGGAACCTCAGCAGGGCCTCCAGCCCAGCTGGGCCTCACGGACGTGGAGGGTCGGTCAGGGATTGGCCTCAGGGACTCTCCCCCAAAGTATTTCCTGTTATTTTAACAAGAACTTGAGTGCCCACTCACGAACACAGTCTCATGGGCTGCGACTTGCCTGGTGACAGGAGGGTGCTTGATAGGAACAGTGTGCGGGCAACGCAGGTACGCCTGTGTGAGGCCCTGGGTCCCTGTTCCTTTGAAGCCTCTCTGGGTGCCTTGCTCAGGATGGCACTGCCGGTTGTGGCCGGCGCGAGGCTTGGTCCACCGCGGGCTCTCGTGCTGGTGAGGGAGGGGTGCAGGTGGGGCTGCCCGGGGCCCCAAGGAGACAGGCAGACCCTGGCGTGTCAGGACAGGATCACAACACAGACAGGGTAGGGCTGGTGTGCGGCCAGGTGTGATCCCACAGGAGCAAGGGAGAGGGGCAGGCGCCGGCAGAGGCGGGCAGGTGGGCGGAGCCTAGATGCCCGGGGTGCCCGCCTCGATGCCAGGGATATTGGCTCTGCTGAGCAGACCCTCGCCCCCTCCCCAAGGTCGACTCCACCAAGTACTACGAGGCGTGCGTGCGGGACGCGTGCGCCTGTGACTCTGGGGGTGACTGCGAGTGTTTCTGCACTGCCGTGGCCGCCTATGCGCAGGCCTGCCACGACGCGGGCGTGTGCGTGTCCTGGCGGACCCCGGACCGCTGCCGTGAGTCGGGCTCTGTCCGTGGTGCTGACGGGGGCGGTGGGGTGGCGGGAGGAGGCCCACCGCGCGCGTGCGCGCTCACGTCGGGTGCGCAAACCAGGCAGGGCTCCCCAAGAGCAAAGGGGATGGCTCGGCAAGGGATAGGAGTTCCGAGCGTCGGGCGGAGGGAGCAGGCGGCCTGGGCGGCCGCGCACCCTCACGCGCCCTGCTCTGCTCTCAGCCTTGTTCTGTGACTACTACAATCCCCGCGGGGAGTGCGAATGGCACTACCAGCCTTGTGGGGCCCCCTGCCTCAGGACCTGCCGCAACCCCAGTGGCCGTTGCTCGGAGGACCTGCCGGGCCTGGAAGGTGAGGGGCGGGCCGTCCGGGGCAGGCGCACCCCAAGAGGGCGGGGGGGGGGGGGAGACGGGCCACACCCCGACGCGGAGTCAAAGGCGGCCTCTGGCAGCACCAACCACCTGGCCTGAGCAGAGGCGTCTTCGCCCCGCCCTGCACCCACCCCAGGCTGCTACCCAAGGTGCCCGCCCAGCAAGCCGTTCTTCAGTGAGGACCAGATGAAGTGCGTGGCGCAGTGTGGATGCTACGACGAGGACGGCAACTACCACGACGTGGGCGTAAGGGTCCCCACAGCGGAGAACTGCCAGAGATGGTGAGGGGGGCAGGCGGTGGGGCGAGGTGGGGGCGAGGGGGCAGCGGGCAGGGATGCTGGCCTGCCCTCGCTGGCACTCAGCTATTCTCCCCGTGCTCCCCCAGTGACTGCACGCCCAGTGGCCTCCTGTGCACGCACAGTCTGTCAGGTAAGGAGGGACCCAGGTAGGCTGGGGGCCAGGGGCAGGGCTCTGAGTGAGCCTTGATCTATTGTCTTCAGCCTGCACGTGCACCTATGAGGGCAAGGCCTATGGCTACCACGACGTCATCTACAACACTACAGACGGGCTGGGTGCCTGCTTGACCGCTGTTTGTGGAAACAATGGAACCATCACCCGGAGGGCCATGGAATGTCCCGGAGCCCCATCCACCATGCCCTTTACCTTCACCACCACCGCAGCCCCACCCTCCACCACAGGTGAGCCCGGCAGACCTGCGTCTGGTCCTGCTGGATGACGGTCTGAGCAGTGAGGGAAGACCCGGTGGGTGCTCAGTGCCGGGGTGCCAGGCACAAGGGCCAGCCCAAGTCCTGCAGAGGCCCAGGGCTGACCTGCAGGCAAGCGGACATGTGTCATCCCGCTGTGTGTGGCTGGCGGGGGCGTGGGGGAGGCTGACAGCTCTGCCCTCTCCCCACAGGTGTGGCTCCCACCCCTTCCACTGTGTGTGTGCATGAGCTCTGCCTCTGGTCCGACTGGTACGACGGTGGACACCCAGAGCCTGGCATGGGAGGTGGGGACTTTGAGACATTCGCCATCCTGAGGCAGAGGGGCTACCGGGTGTGCCCAGCCCCCACCAGTGTGGAGTGCCGGGCACAGCGGCTGCCCGACATACCCCTGCAGGAGCTGGGCCAGAAGGTGGAGTGCAACCCCATCCAGGGGCTGATGTGCCTCAACAGCGAGCAGAGCCCCCCGCTCTGTCACAACTATGAGCTGCGGGTCCTCTGCTGTGACTACGTGCCCTGCAGCCCTGCCCCCGGGGTCACCACCCAGCAGCCGCTCCTCACATCTCTGGCCACCCCCGCCCAGACCACATCAAGGCCAGGAACCAGTCTCTGGCCAACCAGGGCCTCCCCCTCACAGACCCGGGCCCCCAAGACCACCAGCACTGGGTCCACGGCCCCCTCCCCTAAGCCCTCCCCCACCATCAGTGCCACTGTCACCCCCACCACCTCAGCTGTCACCACAGCCACCTCCCCCTCCACCATCTCCCTCACCGGGCCACAAGCCACAGAGCCAGGGACACAGAGGAGGAGCAGCCCAGGGGTGACCATGGCTCCCAGCACCACATCGATGCCTTCCCTTTCCAGAGGACAGACCTCCCCGGCATCGTCCCTGCACCCCAGCTACGTGCACACGCTTGTGACCTCCTCCATGGGGAGCCCCACATCTCCAGGCTTCACAAAGGCCACTGCCCTGGGCACATCTCCATCAGTCCTTCCCACTCACTCAACCCGGTGGGGGACTTCGGGGGGCACCCTGCAACACCCCACTTCATGGTCAGTGACGACGAGAACCTCCACAGCACACTCAGCACTGGGAACACTGGCAGGGACGCCGGGCCCCCCCGCGCTGTCCACCATGCACACCAGGACCAGTACACCAAGAGCTGAGATGCCCACGGCCACAGCCCACATCACGGGCGGGCAGGGCACGACTGCGTGCCAGCCCAGGTGTGAGTGGACAGAGTGGTTTGATGTGGATTTCCCAACCTCGGGAGTCACGGGTGGAGATGTGGAGACATACGACAATATCAGGGCCACCGGGGCCAGGATGTGCCCAGACCCGGAGAAGATTGAGTGCCGGGCAGAGAATTACCCTGAGGTGAGCATTGACCAGATCGGACAGGTGCTCAACTGCAGCCTGGACATGGGGCTGGTATGCAGGAATGAAGACCAGAGGGGAGAGTTCAACATGTGCTTCAACTACAACATCCGCGTGCTTTGCTGTGATGACGTCCGGCACTGCCCACGCCTGGCTCCTGGCTCTACTGCCCCTACGGCGCCTGTGCACAGCAGCCCCACCGGGACCACCAGGCTGCCTGAGCACTTGTCGTCAGCCGTCACCCAGAGGCAGCTCACCTTCCCCAGCGCCCCTCCAGTGACCACACTGCTGACCTCCGGCATACGCACCACCACTGGGTCGCCGCTGACCGGGCCCAGATTCGGGACCACCCAGCCCTCCGGCACCCTGCAGACCAGCTCCACCAAGCTGACCCTGGCCACCTCCTCCTCCACGGGCTGCATGCCACGGTGTGCATGGACAGACTGGTTTGATGAGGACTACCCCACACCCGGTCCCAATGGTGGGGACTTTGAGACCTTTGCGGTCTTCCGCTCAGCAGGCCACGTCTTCTGTGAGCACCCCCAGGACATTGAGTGCCGCTCGGAGAGGGCGCCACAAATGGCCCTGGAGGACGTGGGGCAGGTGGTCCAGTGCAACCTCAGCTTTGGGCTGGTGTGCCGGAACCGCGAGCAGCCGGGGCCCGTGCCGTACTGCCACAACTTCCACGTGCGCCTGCTCTGCTGTGACAGCTACAGCCACTGCCTCTCCACTCCTGGCACCACGGAAGGCCCCTCCCCATCCCCGGGGACTGCCAGCACCTCTGTGACACCCCCAACCAGGGCCATCTCCCCGGCCCACTCTCTTCCCTTCATCTGGGCCTCGCAGACCTCGACTGGACTCCCCAGCACAGTACCTGGTCCCTCTCCGTTCCCGAAGACTGCCAGCACTTCTGTGACACCCCCAACCAGGACCACCTCCCCGGCCCACTCTCTGCCCCTCATCTGGGCCTCAAAGACCTCAACCAGGCTCCCCAGCACCATGCCTAGCACCATCTCAGGCCCCTCTCCATCCCCAGAGACCACCAGCACCCCCATGACACCCACCACTAGGGCCACCTCCCATCCCTGGGCCTTGCAGACCTCGACCAGACTCCCTAGCATGGTGCCTGGCACTACCTCCCGCACAGGGTTCAGCACCTGGGCTTCCTTATCCCCCCCCACACCTGAGGCCACAAGCTCCCCACTGGGCAGCACTTCATGGTCCCCCTCAAGCCTCGCGACACCTAGCACAGGCCCCACCACAGCTACCTCCAGGTGCCAGCCCGCCTGCCGCTGGACAGACTGGCTGGACAGCGACCAACCTCTTCCTGGCCGCTACGGGGGAGACATAGAGACCTACTACCACATTGCGGACGCTGGTGGCCGGCTCTGTGCAGACCCAGAGGCTATCCAGTGTGAGGCTGCCCGCTTCCCAGATGTGCCCCTCCAGCGCCTAGGCCAGGTGGTGCAGTGCAACGTGGACTATGGGCTTATCTGCAGAAACAACCGGCAGAGGCCAGGCCACACCTGCCTCAACTACCAAATCCGTGTACTCTGCTGTGAAGACCACAGCCGCTGCACCAGCTCGGCTGCCCCCTGGTCTCCCACACTGGCCTCCAGTGCCAGCACCAGCACGGGCGAGAGCTCAGTGGGGGTGTCACCGCTCCAGACCACTACCACCACCCAGATACATGCCTCCTCCCCCAGGTCCACTCGGAAGGTCTCCATCCCCACCACTGGGACTGGCCCCTCCCCACCCAGCACCATTGAGAGGGTCTCCATCAGCACTGAGACCCAACCCTACCCACCAAGGACCACTGAGGGAGTCTCCACTCCTACCACTGGGACTGGCCCCTCCCCACCCAGCACCACCGAGGGGGTCTCCATCAGCACTGAGACCCATCCCTACCCACCAAGGACCACCGAGAGGGTCTCCACTCCTACCACTGGGACTGGCCCCTCCCAAGCCAGCACCACCGAGGGGGTCTCCATCCCTACCACTGGGACTGGTCTTTTCCTACCCAGCACCACCAAGGGGGTCTCCATCCCTGCCACTGGGACTGGCCCCTCCCC